CGAACACCTTCGACTTGAACGAGTCATCGTGATGCTGCTGCTGCGACGATTTCGTCCCATCGCGACGTCTACTCTGAACACAGCCCATGGTACAGCATAAGATCGGCCCTCAGAGATGAAACATCCATGCTCACAGCAGCACTCGGCTATCGTCGATCACTACGAATGACATTTAGTGTGTCGATCGGATCGAGGACGGGAATTTTTCGTTCCACTGATTGGATGCTCAAGTATCGACAACACACGCAACGTTAACGCAGCTGCTGCGACCGTTGGCCGTAGACGTAGGCTACAAATTCTTTGCTTGATAGAGGAGAATGGCATACCGTATAGATTAAATTTTCATTTCGCTCTCTGTTTAAAACGTGCGATCCGACGACTCAACCACTGAGATACAACATGACGAAAAAGAAATCTTCACCAGATCTGCGAACTTGCGTCATTTCCGTTCTTTACATTGATTTTCGGAAATCGGTCGCAGGGCAATGCCAGAAAATTACAAAACCACGCAGCCTGAGAAAATACGATTGCGATAGCTAACGAAGCAAAGCGTTCATAACAAGTCCAATGACGAAATTTCGCTGCACAAGATATTATTAAAAGTTATTTAAAAAGTTTCATAAGCGATTTGCATGCTTCATCGATAGGCATGCAGCGCCAGGAGCGGGAAGGTCCATTTTACAACTGGTTTGCTTTTTCTAGTGCAGATTCTTTTGCTTCCAAAACGAAGCTAGCGCACTTCAAGTAAAACATTTTGACAGCCGATCGATTAGCGACAATGACGAAGTTGTGCAGCGTACAACTACGATCATATGAAATATACACGGCAGTATCATGAGTGACCTACATTCCTCAGTTAGCAGGACGGAACGCTTTTACTTATCCTTCATAAAACTGAAAATTACTGGCCAATTTTCTAAATTGACGTAAATTCCTTCATTTTGCGCTCTAAGAAATGTCGCTCAAAACGTTACCCGAATTTGATAGAGGACCTAATCCACAGTCCACTAGTTCAACAGGAGCTCCTTCAGACTGCGGCTGCAACCGTCGGTTACACGAAGCGTTGGCAACACTACTTCTGTTAGATGTACAGGCTCTTTTATGGGCATATCATTCGCCACAGAAACACTTGAACACTTCTAAGACTTCCGGTCGCCTGAACGAAAACTGTTTACCAGTTTTGAAGACGTCTAAAACTTCTTACGAATGCTCAGTTGCAAAAATATAAGTTGCAATTTGGCGAATCTAAATGAATTAAAAATGACGAATAAGCGGTCAGTAACCTCAGTAAAGTAAAAGAGGCCAAAATGAACAATTCTGTCTTGTAGCTTTGCCATCATTGAATGTTTTTCCACTTTGACGTTACGGCAGGACAAATAAGACATTTTCTGCTTTTGCTATTGTAGCAAACCTCCAAAGGAGTCTTCTCGGTCCGGAGACCTGACTCACAGCACACCGTAGATGTGTGACCACTTGAAGATAGCCACACACTATGTTCGAAAACAACAGCTTTTAGCACGCACTATAACGCACTCCAAAGACAGTATGTTTCTCCTTACTTCGTTTGGACTGTCCTATTATATCTTCTCTGACCCAGAACGATGACCAATCCGCGCGCGTTTTGACTAACTACGCGAACTGCTTCCGGTACTCGCCTTCCTACAATCGTTCCGCTGAGCACCCCGACAAAGGAAAGCTGGTGCTTAATGGCCGCTGACATTTGAGTCATGGCTTTTTCACAGTCTTTTCGTTGAGCGCCCGACAAAAGACAGTATCTTAGGGCCTGTTATACCATCTCTCGCCTGTTAAAATATTTGGACGAGTTTTCCATTCTTCCATGTTTGGAATCTAAGTGAATCTGGCAAAGATGGAGACTCAATTAACAAAAGTTCCCTATTACATTTTGGTTTGCACCAATGTTGTAATAGCGCATGACGAGGCACATCGTTGCTCATGGATTTGCAGTAATGGTGCACCGCTTCTAAATACAATCGAGTCAGTTAAAGCAGATCACGGCTCCGTAGCATTTGAGAACCAACACTGCACGGATATAACTCAGCATCAATGATCATGGTGCCACCCAGGCACACCCGCACGCAAACTCGAGATTGTGGCTCTGGCAAGCTTTCGGGTGTGCTCAAATACTGCAGCTTCGCTTTGAAAATTAGACTCGCAAATTCACATTTTATTTCAACAATGTCTAACATCCGGTCTACACTGTTCCTTCTCATAGCCCATCTGAATATTAACATCAGCTGACTGCCTTTTCACAATTCAATCCCTGTATCCTCATCATGACAAGCCAGCAACAATCAAAGTAGAGGTCGCATTACTCGACAAAGAACTTCAAAGTCTATGTTTCTGAGCCGTTGCGGTAACCATGAACCCATCATAAACTCAAAATCATTAATGACGCAATCTGAAATATGAGTCAAAAGACCTATTTATGGCTTCAAAATGAATCTGCTTATAAGTTCAGTTTTTCGATTGCATTATCCAGACGTTTACTTAGGGTCCCCGATAGTGTGAATTTCTGAAGAAGGCATAATAAAATGTAACACATTATCTACTATTTGAATGAAGGACGGCGATTCATGGGCAAGATGGTTGCAGACATTCAGTGGATAGCTTTCAGTGTGACATTAAAAAATGGAAAAAAAAGCATCTTTCGCGTCACTTGACACTTGAATGGTAAATGCCTGAGAATTCGGCAGTAGTTTACCTGTACATCGGCATTCATGTTGGTGTCCGTAAATGGATAATGATATTCATCGTCATCAGTTATCTATAGGGCTCTGAAAGCACCGTGTGAACAGTGAATCAGGAAGTCACAGCAAACGATGAACAAACCTAGAGCCTCAATGAAGGTCAAACGTAGAATTAGCGCTTATTTTCACGTACCTCAAACACGATGTAATTTTGCTATTAACTGTTATTATGTGGTGTCGTACCTGAGGCAAAAAAAAACTTGCTAAAATCTGCGTTCAAAAACCCAGCGAGAAGCCGAATTGCGCGTGGTTGTGAATTCCTATCATTCTACTGTTTCAGACCTCACAACACTTCCATTGTTATCATGACGGCTGAGGATGTTACTTACTGCAGTGCAACCTCACATCGTATTCTATTCATTTTGGACTCTCTCGACCCAAGCAAGAGGCAGGATTTTGAAATTCAGTCGTATATCAAGTGTCAAATTTTCATCTCTTAGCTCAATCTGACACTGCTAAGTTCAGACGAATCTCTTGGTCCCCTCTCTGTCAGCTGAGCTAGACTTGTAAGCTTTGCCTTCATTGGCAGAGGCTGGCTTCTTTTCTGACTTTGTGTCTTGTAGGTAAACGTTCAGTGTTTATTGACTGGCGCGCGAATGATTATAAATATACGTGATTCATTGGCTACTCGAAAACGAATAGCACAAGAGATATGGTAAATGATTGCTATAATTGCACGCCTTGTGAAATACGCTTGTCTGTTTTCCCACGGCTTATACGTCTTCGCTCAATAATTAACTGCGATGTCATTTTGCGAGGTTTTAAACAAGTTATCAAAAATTTCTAGACATTGAAAGTGCATTTTGGCATATTATCCCAGCAAGTACCAGCTAATAATGACGACTGCACACATTCATCAAATACGTATGTTGTATACCAAGTCGGTCATGAACATAGCACACAGTAATAACAATTAGCAGCAAAGGATAAGCACGTATTAATCGTTCAAAAGAGATTAAGACAAATAGGTGGCTGAAAACTAGCTGGAAACTGCAATATTATTTTAAAGGCTAGAGCATATATCTTAAAAAAGATTTAGCTGCTTAAAGCGTAATTGGCACTGAAGAACATTACTCTGCAACTTGAACTCAATAATTGGCACTGAACAACATTATTCTGCAACTTGAACTCAACAATCAATTTATAAACAATTGAAACCAGTTCCACACGACGGCTCAACTTGGTGATATAGCAGACAGTAAAACGACGCCTATAACTTCGGATATACTGACAGTAATCCTGAAGCACTAACACCATCATCATCATCATCTTCCATCGCCGCCTCTCCTTTCGGGTCGCGGAGGCAGACGCGTCACACAGTGCTTCCAACGTTCCCCATCCTGTGCCAGAGTCTGAGCTTCGACAAAAGGCAAATGTAGTCTGGAACAGATTCCTTCCATATGTTTGCAACAGGTTAATCTTGGCCGTCCCCTGGGCCTTTTGCCGG